TTTTAACTCTGACATCACATAAGCACACACGGCTGTAAATCTAACTTCAAATCTTAGAAAGCCCTTTTTTGTTTGAAAAAAAAAGGACCCTCCACCCTCTCTCCTCATTTTTTCCTTTCACATCTTCCACTCGTCTGCTGGACGGCCTTATCTCCCTCTGTCATGTTACCGCAGCTTCGCTCTTACAAGAAACTTCTAAGCTGTGTTAAATAAAATAAAAAACGACTTCAGAGAACAGAGTCACTTCTCCTCCACACGCAACACATCATCACATTTGATGGCTTGTCACGTAAAATCTGTTTTCCCATGTAAACTATATGGACTTTGCAGCATGTTGTAAGCTCTGGAACTTTATGGGACCCAAGATCGAGCCAGTGTGGGATGCCCTCCCACCCCACCCGCACTCACACACACACACACACATACACACACACACACACACACACACACACACACACTTACACACACTTGTACACACGCAAACTCTTGTGGAACTTTGTGTTGGCAGCTACTTAAAGGTTTAGTGACAAAGTAGCAGTTACCACAAGATATTCCCGTGAATGAACCTTTGGATGCCATACAGCACATGTGCTTTTATTTAGCGCTCTCCAAGCTTTCTTGAAGGGAATGTGGATGACTCTGGCTTTTCCATACTCAGGACAACCTTAGAGGCATCACTTTGTTGGTTGCATTCAAACATTTTATAGTTGGCCATGTACAGTATCTTCTTTCCATGACAGTTAATTGTATCTGCTTCTTTTGAAGGAGGCTTTTGGTGCATGTCTGCTTGCACCAGCAACTTCTTGTTTGATGATTTTATAGTCTTCCAGGGAGCCAAAAGCATCTCTTCCATGCCAAAAGTGGCGTTACAGTTGTCGGACTAATGGCAGTTTATTTAACCTGAAGTCAAGTGCACCTTTTTGCTAAGTCAATTGCCCAAAAATGTTGCTATCAAGAGCTGATTCATGGAAAAATCTTGTCAGCCATATGCTGACGAGCTCTGGTTTAGATTTTGTCTAAATAAAAAGTGCGCCATTAGCATTCGGAGAAACTTTCTTACTAAAAATCTCTTTAAACTTGTGGTTGTGTATCTCCAACCAGTACAGAAATTAAAATAAAAACTGGGGACAGACAAATATACCTAGCTAATGAACGCCCTTGCAATCTTGTTAATTAAGAAGCTGCTTCTTCGAATGAATAGCAAAGATTGGAATTAAAATGTGTTTAGTTTATGAACAAATACGGGTGAAAATGTAAACATTCACATCAAGTTTTGTCAGTGCTAGATAGCAAATATTATCATGCTAACACAGAAAACTAAAAGGGTTACAATTATAAATGGGAAACCTGCTTAACATTGGCTTACTAGCATTGCTACTTACAGATTTTAAGACATGACATGCCTGAAGAAAGTTGATTTTTTTTTTTTAGCTCTGTCAGGAAAACCATAACGTTTCAGTGGAATCACAGTCTTGGCACTGTTGCGGCTTCAGGAACACAGGAATCTCAGACTTGTGTTGTCGAAATCTAATGCCAGAGGGCAGGGCATTTCCAGTCTCAATGAATCACCTAAAATATCCAGTAAGTAGGCGTGGTTGTTATTTACAAGATCTCACTGATGCTTCCCCAAGTCTAACTGATTCTTGGCATTCATTCAAACTTTTTGTCAGGATTGTATAATCTTTAAGTTCAGACCAATGTTACATTGAAGAGGCTGACATTTATATAAGAAAGTGAAAAATTCAAACATCACTGGTCTGGCGGCCGATATCCTGAAGCCGATATGAAAATAGATCTATTCTGGATTGTGCACTGATTTTGTACCAAATTAAACAAGGCAAAGGTACTCAGAAGATTTCTGGAACTAAACAAACTTCTTACAGAACATGTATCATTATTAGTGTCAATCATTTCAAGCAAGGATCACTGTCTGTTCAGCTGTCAATCTGAGCTTCATGTGCTGTAGACAGTTCTAAGAGTAATGTTAACAGTAGATTAAAAGCATGCTTTTCTGGTCATGCATCATTTCTCAATCACTCACAAATTATCTCTGAAATGTTTTCTAAAAAACCTTGGCATATAGGAAACAATATACACAAATACTAGTATATTTGTGATCTGTCAATATCGGATTCTGTCAATCAAACAGATTTATGGTTCAGGCTCCAATGTAAACAGAATTTTCTTTCTAGTTTTATCTCTGACAGACTATCTGGCTTGTGTTGCTTATTTCTGAGGCCAACTGCTGTGTCAACATGTTGGAGGTATATGTGCCACATTATGTTTAGTACAGGAATGGCAGTGCCCTGGCATGCACATAAGACCTGCATTTGAACTAATTAATGAAGGGATGACTTCAGACAGTACAGATATTGCCATGCAGACAGATGTACAGTAGTCTGGTGAACCCAGAACAATTCATTTTGATTGTAGATGTATATGTGTACCTGATTCCTTACAAAACTCATGGGGAAATCTTTTGTTCACATCCGGACAAGTTAAAATGTTCAACCTAAGAGGTTAACTCTGGATGTTTTATGTCTACCACTAACAGAGAGCCTGAAATGTAGAGCTTTTATCTAACAGACATGTCACAAAGGCCCCCCGGGTTGTTGCAGGTGGATTAGTATCCAAAGGTTTGATTCTTCTGCTGTATTCAAAGCATCTGGTTTCTCTCTTGACACTTGTTGCTAGTTGCTAGTGCACTCTCCCAGATGCCTTTCAAGCCACATCAGAGTGTAGATTTCTTAGATCAACACTGCTTTTATCTCTGTCCTTTACTTAACAGGTCAGTGAGAAACAAGCCTTGTCTGTGCATTCCTCTCTGTATGTGTCTTGCACCTGTTCTCTTTCAAGCCCCGCTTTTGTCCCTAATGTAGGGAGTCCACCTTATCACTGTGAACATGCAGATAAGCACATTATATAGCCATCTTCTCATTTTTTCCTCAAAGATAGCTTCCCTTCTGTCCCCCTCAGTGCACCTGGATCCTGTAGTAGACTATGGGACTGACATACAGCAGTGGCACAATGGATTTGTGAATGGGATGGGCTGGTGATAAGTGATTTAGCAACAATGATGCGACAAAGAATAATGTATAATACAAAAAAATAAGACTGGATTACCTTGGATATAGAAGATGAGTGCACTGACTGAATGTAAAATGCAAGCACGATTAATACCTTACATTAAAAATAGAAAAAAAAATCAAATACATGAAAAAAAAAACAGTGTCATGATCCAATAAAATATCTGTGGATTTATATCACTTCAGTGTTCAGCCAAAAAAACAAACTTTCCCACTGACTAGATCAGGTTAAAGCAAATTTGTCTTGCCTAACTATGGAAACAACAATACACAAACTAATTAACCGTTACCTGCCTGCTGTAGCTAGCTTAGCATTAGGCACACAGCAAATGACAGTTATCATTCAGTTCATGATGCTAACTTCCAAAACAATGCAGCTTGTTTGGCAAGTCCTCTTCTTCGACCTCATTATCCTCCATGTTTACCAACACCGCCTTTGCAATTAGCATCCCAGTTGCTGGTATAAGCGATAAGCAAGTTGTTGCCACCAACATCATCCATTCTCTTTTTTTTTTTTTAGTTTGTGTGTGGTGTACAAACTGTTAAAAAAAATATGATTATTTATCTCTGTACAACTTTAGGTTCTTCACTCTGACCTGGTTTGGTTGGGAATCTCTCAAAAGACAAAAAAATCTTAGCTCCCCTCCTCCTTTTCTGTGTATGTGTGTGTGTGTGTGTGTGTGTGTGTGTGTGTGTGTGTGTGTGTGTGTGTGTGTGTGTGTGTGTGTGTGTGTGTGTGTGTGTGTGTGTGTGTGTGTGTGTGTGTGTGTGTGTGTGTGTGTGTGTGTGTGGTATTGAGGATAACTGTCTGTCATGCTTTTAAACTGATGCCCACTGGCTGTCTGCATATGATGGGTTGTGTCAGACCACCCAAGAGGACTGCTGGTGGGCCCACAGAGATGAGAGTGTACAGTATGGGCATATTTGTAGTGTGTGTGGGGGAGAAAGAGAAAGATGGGAGTTTAGCTAAAAAATAAGCCAAACCAAAATTGAGAAAGTGTTTGTTGGATTTACTTTAAACGTAGAATATTTTCACTGCTGTTATTAAAGTAGTTTTTTTTTGCTTAAGTTTAATTTATATTTATATTTTGGAGGTTAAACCACTAGTTTAAACACTAACCTTCACAATACCACATGGTCCCAACACTTTCACTTCTTATTGTAGGTACAGTATTAATCTATTTAAACATGTTGACGCTAACTTTTGAGTTTTCCAGTGATTCATTTGGTGAGTGGTTAACGATGTAGGTTTTTTTTTTTTTTTACACAGAATTACAAAACTTTTTGCAATGTAGCATCTTTCTGGCAGAAGCTTTGTTCCTCTATGCGTCATCAATCCACCAGTTATCATGTTATATAACGTTTTCATGATAGGATGAGGGATAGGGAGTGCATGTGTCCGGATCTGTGTGTTTTTGGGTTGATGGATGGCTGTTGAGAAACCGGGGCGTTAAGGTAGAAAGCGCAAGACTTATCAGTTGAGTTCTATTTCTCTCTTAAACACACACACACACACACACACACACACACACACACACACACACACACACACACACACACACTCCCTCCTTTAAGGAGCTGTCCTGTTTGTAGAAGATAGGATCTGTGTTTCCCCTGCACCCGGAGCTGCTGCATAAAAGCCCTCTTTATTTAATCGCCTGCCCTCTGTGTGAACATGTGTGTTTATGCCCACGTGTGTGATGTGATGTGATGTGATGGTGTCAGGGATCACACGTTTCTACTGTTTGTGGAAAACAGTTCACACATCACACATCACAGATCACAGAGTACATACAGCCCAGACATGTTGCTTTGCTTTTGTCTGCCATATGTTCCTGCACACAGAAGGCATTAACTTGACGCAGCTTCCTCTCAGTGTGGGATTTTTCTTTCCTGTCTGTTTTTTTTTTGCAGACATAGATGAATGTGCAACAGGTAGACACACATGTGGACCCGACCAGACGTGCTACAACACCAGAGGTGCCTACATCTGCCAGTGTCAACCAGGTTACCAGAGGAATGGAGATCACTGTGTAGGTGAGCAGACTACATTTTCTCCTCTCTTTCTATGATTAAAACTTGTTTTGAGCTTTTGAAAAAGCCCCTTTTAAAGGTTGATTTTTTACGTCCCACATATTAACGAGTGTATGTGTTTGTGTGTTCCTGCAGACAGAGACGAGTGTGCCCTGACCCACTACTGCATGCACAGATGTGTGAACACACAGGGTTCATACTACTGTGAGTGCAACGCAGGTCACAAGTTGGCCAGCAACAACCACAGCTGTGTGGGTAAGTCCCTGAAAACCATAACCCATGTGTGCATGCATGAGTGTTTAAGTGTACAGTATCAAATTAGATAATTATTTTTGCTTAATGCATCAGTTAGTTCTGAACAAGCTAATGAGACGCATTCCTTTAGTGCCGATACATGAGAAAAACATCACTGGGAATCTTAAGTGGTGTATCACTCCATCGCTGTTGGTATTCTCATAACCATTACTGATTATTATCGACACACGGCCTGCAGCCTGGTGCCCACGACCGCCACCGCCGTGTGAAATTTCAATATTCGGAACATCACTCCCTTTTGTGTGATACTAATTTATTAGTGGGTTTTTTTGTAGCCAAGCTGTTGGGCATTTAGTGTCAAATAAATATCCACATAAACTCTTGCCGGACTGACTTTAACAGTTGTGGTTGTGATTTAACATAAAAATGTTGGTGACCATCAGTTATATTGCTCAAAATCTGTTAATGAGGTGCTTTTATCCATACAAGAAAGAAAGACAGGATCACTCATGTAAAAAACAAAAGTAGACATCAAAAGCTTTTTATCTCAGGGGACGTCAGCTCAGGTTTAGCTTCCAAAGTCGCATGTTAACACTACCAAGCTTGGCTCCTTACTTACTTTTCTCAAGATGCAGATAGGGCAGCTGTGGCCCAGTTGGTTGAGTCGGTTGTTTCGATGGGGGTTCGATCCCCAGCTCCTGCGGCAACATGTGTCTTTGGGCAAGACACTTAAACGCGAATTACACCCGCTGCTTCGTCTGCAGCGTATCAGTGTGTATGAATTTACTTCTGATGGTCTATTTACATAGAAACAGTCAGTTTCTGTGGGTAGGTGTGACATGCAGTGAAAAAGCACTTTGAGTAGACTAGAAAAGCGCTATAAAAGCTCAAGGACATTTACCATCTAGATATTTTGAGGTCAGCTATGCCTTAACAAAATAAATAGTGTTTTTATTGCCTGGAAACTTTCACCTATCATGAGAACCCACACATCAAATCTTTGGCTGAAGCTAAAGGAAGTTATTGTGCTGTAATAGAGAACAGATTATATCATAAAGAAAAATTATAGAAATCCATCAAAACCCTCAACCTCCTTCCAGCTTTGCTGTTACATGTGTTTATTTGCGTCTCTTATTTACTCACCTTGAATCTGTAGTGGGAAAGCCAAATCTGCAAATTGGAAATAAATGAGCCAATTAGAAAGTATTTATAGTTACTGTGCTGTCTGGTATGTTATGGTAACATTGCGTTCATCATATCAATTGCTGTGAAAGTCATGGTTGAAAACAGATTGGAAGACATTAAATATTTGTTATAATCTGAAATTGCACATAAATTGCACATAAAAAGAAGAACCAGAATTATTTTATTGTGTATCATTGATATATGACTGTCTTTCATTCCAGATGTGAATGAATGTGATGTGCAGAGTCCCTGTCAGCACCACTGCTACAACCTGATTGGCTCCTTCCTTTGCCAGTGTGACCAGGGCTACGAGCTCGCACAGGACTCCGTCTCATGCCAAGGTGGGTACACATGCAAACACTCAAAAAACGTAGTGACAAAAACATTGTTAGATCAAAGAATTATCACATTTCTTGCCCTCATATTTAAGTGTTTTCATATTTTCTGTACAGACATTGACGAGTGCAGCTTCTCCAGCTACATGTGTCAGTACCAGTGTATCAACAGCCCGGGGAGTTACTCCTGTGAGTGTCCAGATGGATATCAGCTCCAGGGAAACCGGTTGTGTCAAGGTACAACAGTTCTCCTTCATCCATTGCATTATCCTTCCATAAATCTTTCTTTTATCCATCTTTAGTTGATTTTTTCATCTATTTCTTCCTCTCTGTTTTCATAGACACAACAAAGTTCCTCCTTTCCTCCAACCCTCCTATCTATCTCTAACAGCTCTTTAAAGATAACTAAATCATTCATGCTATCATCATCTATTCTACCTCTAAAGTAGGGATGAAAGCCGCTCTCAGCCTGGTTACTATCATGGAAAAGTGCAACGGATACGCAACATAAACAACACAGCAACTTTGTGTTGCCACCTCTGTGAATTTATATGCAAAATGATGGTTTCTTGAAGTGGATTTATTTGAAGCTCCGGCACTCGCTCAAAGAGGGAGCTGTTATTTTTTCCTCTCCCCCCCCCCCTCAGTCAGGTGCAGGTTTTACAGGGGGAACCATGAAGGGACCTTTTGGTGATGAATCCAGGTTGCTGTGCCAGAAATAGCCCTGTGGTTTGGGGCACGTTTGATGGGGTTATTTTCATCACGCAGCAGGAAAAGCACAGCATTTAGGCCTGTATGGGGTTGAATTGGGGGCTTCCCTCAACAACAAATGTGCAGGCTTCCCTCTTGTGTTTCTTTGCATCTCCACAGCTGTTAGAAATAAAGTTACAATGTGAAAACACTGTTCCCAAATGGTACTCCTCTTGAACTTTGACCGTGTTTTCAGAGCTCTGTGTCATCAAGCGTTTAGAGTTTTTGTGTTTTTTGGACGTGGGGGACACTTGCATTGTAATCCAATGCTTTTTTGACTCTTTTTCACACTTTTTCTCTCTCCCTCTCTGTCACTCTGCCAATCACCAGACATAAATGAGTGTGAGACGGGGACCCATAACTGCCAAGATGATGAAATGTGCTGGAACTATTACGGAGGCTTCCGCTGTTATCCCAGAAACCCCTGCGAGGCGCCTTACGTCAAAACCTCTGAAAAGTAAGTAAACATTATCAAGTACTTAAGTTTCACTGTAGGCAAAGCAGCTTTTTTTTCATAGAGATTGTTGTAATTGTATGTTTGCAGTCGCTGTATCTGCCGGTCTCAGGCAGAGTGCACTGGTCTTCCTCCATCAATTGTCTACAAATACATGAGCATCCAGGCAGAGCGCACGGTGCCAGCGGACGTCTTCCAGATTCAGGCCACCAACATCTATGCCAACACACACAATACCTTCAGGATCAAAGCTGGCAATGAAGCAGGAGAGTTTTTCCTACGTGTAAGTGACAATTATGTTTTTTTGTGTTCTTAAAAAGATGGGGGAGGGTGTCAGTAATGTTGGCACTGAAGACCAAGAGTCTGTAGACATCATTTCAACTTTGTTAGGATGAAGCTAGGAGCTAAAATAAGAATGCTAACCATGCCCACAATGGCATTGCTTACATGCTGCTGTTAAACATTTAGTTAAAATAATATTTTCCCCACCTTTTGTAAATGATAATCAACAACTCTTTGAGGCTTCTGTGTGGGTTAAGCTACATGCTAATGACAGCAGACAAACATTGGTTGATAATGCTATGCCTCCAACCTGGTTTTAAACTAAATACATCTTGTCACTGGTAAATTGTAGAGAAACATACTTACATATTGTGTGATCCTATTTTCTTGCAGCGTTCCAGCAATGTGAGCGCCATGCTGGTGCTAACCAAGCCTCTGACTGGCCCCAGGGAGTATGTGGTGGATCTGGAGATGATCACTCAACATCTGTCAATGAGCTACCGTTCCAACTCACTGCTGCGGCTCACCATCATAGTCGGGCCGTACGCCTTCTGAGCACCGCAATTACCAGCGGCCTAAATAACTTTGGTTCAACAAACAGCAGTGTAACACAAACGATGCCAGCAAAACATACTGTTCATTTTCATACAATATGCATACCACATATAACATAGGCTGACATAGCCAGACTCATAAAGCAGCACAGCAGTTAAAATAGGCTTCTTTTTTTTTTTTATAGCAGACAAGTCCACACTGTTATGTGACCACTGGGCAGCTTTTCTCTAGAGGACCTGGGATGCATCACCATGAAGGGTTTTAGTTTCTGAAAAAACAGGCTTTGTGTTTGACAAGATTTAAACTGTTAAAAAAAGACTCCATTTACAAAGTACAAATAACTTACAAAGCAATATGGACCATTAGTAAGTAGACTAGCAGGACTAGGATGTATGTGCGATGTATTTGTAGTAGTTCACACATACATTAGCACATATGTACAGTACAGGACCAGCGAAGAGAGTGTGTCCAAATAGGCCTCTAAAATACATTTTCCTCACAATTGCTTCAACAGTTAAACTTTAAATCTAAAGACTTCAAATGTGTCTCACTTTTAGTGCCTGAAGTGAACATAAGAAAGATGCAGGGAGCGGGGTTTTCACTTGAAGTGGTTGTTTTCTACTTTCAGAGAAAAAAACAACTGATGGCAGTGCAGTGGCACTCAGGAAAAGATTCCCAGTGGACACATTTCCTACCTGTGATGGAGCTTTGATGCAGAATTACGTACAATTATCACTTACTACAAACCAAAACTGCGTACTATAATCTGTTTGCATCAGTGGAGCACTCTGTTGTAGGGAAATCATATTTTTTATAGAAATGTACATGATGAATATCCAATATGAGCAGCTTTTGACCATGTAAATCATCGCTTCTGTTGATAAATGTCGAGTATAAAACTGCTGCGCGACACTGTTAGTGCAAGTTTCTGTACAGAGTTACTCGTGAGTAATAATTTCCTGTGAGTCCAGAGCAGTTCAGAAGTGTAAAGGGAGGGAACTTGTCTGTAAGTTGAGAGAGTCCTAGAGAGTCCGAGTACTCACAGGAGTTAAGTCATGTACATACCGAGTTATATAAAAAAATCTGTGTGTATGTGTGTGCGGATGTTTAGTGTGAGTGTGTGTCCCTGTCTTTGTTTATGCATGCAAGAAAGTCAAAGTGTGAACCACTGAGAGAGGGAAAGAGTGAGAAGGAGTTTTAATGCGTGGTCGAGCTGTTTTATGTGTTTCTGTGATGCCATCCCTGCGTCGCAGAGGCATTAACAGAGAAATGACGGCTTTCGCAACACACCTTTGCCAGTCAACCTCTCTTTGGTGCCACTTTGATTCTCCCGAGGAACGGCTTTCTAATGTCGGTCCCAGTCTAGAAGTCACACTGGCACCAGGCTGGCTTGCGTGATAAACGTAATTACAGCTCTTTCCCCTGTAGCTGGTTCATGTGTGACACAGGGGATTATTAAAGTGTTAATACAATGCCACCACACTTTTGGCCGAACGAAAAATCTCTCACTACCTGCTTTGCCTTTCATGACTCCACGTGTCTGCTCTGGCATATTTCTGAAACACTTCACACTGTAGACACACAGCACTGAAAACCGCATAAAAACCAAAACATTGTCACCTTTTTTTTTTTTTTTTTTCTTAAACATGTAAAATGTTCTCCATGTCTTTGGTCTTTTATGTGGTTACAGCAGTGAGCATGCCGTAGTGCCTTAGAGGTATAAACACAAAAAAAATGTACACTAAACTTATCGAGACTGTCAACTTCCTTCTTTAAAATGCCTTAATGTTTATCGCTTCTATTTAAAGTCTATTTTGTCATACGTATCTTGTATTGATTGTACTCTGAGAGCAAAAGTTATGTTGTTGAATAAAATTTCATGGATAAATGGGGCTAGGTGTTTTTTTATTTATTTGTAATATCTAAAAGAAAAGAGAAAAAAACAACAACAAATGTGTAAAAACTTCCCATCAGAAGTGCAGCGCTGCAACAAGATCTGACTTTATTTACAGTTGACTGGAAATCGCAGCAGTCGTGTGAAATGCTTCGCTGATTTTTCCATGCTTTTTGGAAAAGGTGAGGATGATTTCATCGGAATATAGCCATGATAAATGCAGTGAACATGATGCCCCAGCCATCATATCTATCTTATTTAAAGAGCTCCAGAGGGGATGTAGTCATATAGTGTGCTGAGGGACAAAATGTGAAGCCTGCACACACATAAAGACACACTCACACACATGGCTTATTTAGATGTGAAACTGGTTGGGAGTGGTTTTATGGTAAGTTGTTACTCAATCATTCTGCTGTGTAGAGCTTTAGTCGAAGCACTGTGGGGACTTGTAAGATGATACATTATGTGTCATTGCTCCCCTAACCCCATCTTCATTGGGACTCTGTGTTTTTCTGCTGTTTGTGCATGATTCAACCCCGAGGAGAAAACATTGCTCACCCAATTTTTCTGTGACTCACCCATGTGCTGAACTTCTTAAGAAGAGTTGCATTTTGAGGTTCATGTTATTTTTATTTATTTATATTCCACTCAAGGAAACGGTGAAGATCATTAACTTAACATCCCTGGATGTAGCAAGACGTTTTATTGATCACTGTAAGATGTATTAAATGGATCAAAGCAACAGCTGGATGAAGATCTTGGAAAAGAAAAAAAAAAGTTAAGTGAGTTGAGTTTGTGTTGCCCCGTGTCATCACCTCCCCATAATACTCCAGTGACGCAATAACGGCCCCTCTTTTTTGACTGTTTTAATCTGAACTTGTTATCAGATATCTGATCTTAAAGAGATTTCTGTACTGAACAATCATAGTACACTGCCTTGTCAGAAAGCAAACAGTGATTTCCTCATGTACAGTAAAGTAATTGTTCTTTGTATTGCATAATAAATCTAGAGGTCAGGTTTGTTATTCCCCTAAGGTAATGAATGTACTCCACCTGCATTACAAATCTCCTCAGCCTACAGATACACTGCTGAAGACTAGAAAAGCTTAACCAACCAGGAAACCCCCAATTGTGTAAACTATAATAAAGCCTAGAGATTAGAGATTTTTGCAGGTTAACATTGAGTAAGACAAAGTCTGTAAAGCACTTTGGTCAGCTGAAGCTGTTTTAAACGTGCTACACAAATAAACTTGAATTGAATTGACTATTGTTTGCTCTGCTGCTGTTTACAAGTGATACAGAAGTTTCATTAAAACAATCCTTTTTTCTAGTGAAGCATAAAGAGAATATAGCTCTGTTTTTTAAACTGTTTTTGAATTACCCATGAAACTTTTTCTTACTGTGATTTAATGTTTTATGTGAAGAATACAGTCAAAAAATCACTTACAGTTACCAAAACCCAACCTCCAACTCCAGAAGCCCTGCAGTGATCTGCGATGACCGCTGTTGTTTTGGACATTTGATTGGTTGATTGGTTGATTGGTTGAAAGTGGGAAAGCCTGTGTGGGACAACATAAATGAGTTGGTCTTGGCAATGAGGAAACAAAAATGTGAACTTTCATTTTCAGTGAAATAACAAAAGTTTGTATGTTTGTGTGTGTGAACTAATCAGCTGATTACCTAACTTTTGTTATCTTTATGGAACAAAGAATGTGTGGAGGACTTCAGGTTGTTAAGCTTGCTGGATTATGAGGAGAAAGAAGACGAGTGTCTGAATGAGTCGCATACATTTTCTTTGTTATAATATTGTCAATAATGTCACTAGGCTAAGGTAAGCTACAGCTTGCGAGCAGCTGCTAATTAAAGGAAGAATGTGAATTTGATCCAGTAGATGTCGCCCTTGAGCACCAGCATTAAACCAAAACAAACTGCTGTTTGGGCACACCTCCAACTCCTCTCAACTTGCATGAAGGAGTTATGAATTAGAACGCATCATAATTAAGCACCATTAAGCACAAGCGGCGGACAATATTGTCCTTTGCTCGAGCTGCAATTACCTGTTTCCTGCATTGTTTTGTTAGCAGGCTAATGTTAGCTCGCTTTGGTTAACTCAGCTTTGTATTGCACATAAATTGACACGGAATGACCAGGATTTAAACACACTTACATGACATCCAAATGAGCCGTGAGTAGGCTGTGTTATTCTTCTTTTCTCTAGTCTTGTCTAAAACAGCTTCATATGCAAGGCCGTCCCGAGAGATAGGAGCTGCTAGCTGCCTGAACACCTCTCATCTGTGTTTGTGAGGCTTGTGCCTTTTGGTACATTTTACATGCAAATATTTGACAAACAATGTTGCATGTAAATTAGAACTGACAGACATCCAATCAGTCTACAGTTCAGCTTTTCTGCAGAACAAAATGTCATCATATTCCACACAATATTTGTAAACCAACACACCACAAAAAATGAGCAACAGACCAACATTTTCATCCCTAAGAGAAAGTTTGGCCTAAATAATGTGTCACTAAAACCCAAGAATAAGACAATGTTCTAATCTTTGGTGTAGTGTTACAACAGTGTTACATAAATGGATTTTTCCGGGTTGAAAGCAGGGCCTGCGTTACCTAAATGTTGTTTAAACTGAAATGATGAATCACTTCTCACAGAGAAATGTCGCACAGTCACTTCATAGCGTGCTGTTAATCAATGCTCTCCTCTGCCTGTCTTTAGCTCTCTTTGAGTGTGTGTCAGAGAGAAAGGTAAGGGGTGTTTTAATGGAGCGAGAGAGTGCATGAAGAGGTGAGAAATGAGAAGTTTATTGGATGGCATTTGAGATCGGAAAGCCATAATGAGATGAGGTCACTTGTTAACACTGGCAGAAAGTGTCACATGAGGGTGGCACAAGCAAAGGAGGGCACTGACGGGGAAACAAACTTACACATGCACGCACGCACGCCACTCAAGAAACTCTCAAGCTAACAGGAAAATATACATGCCAAACAAATTAGCAGAACCACAGTCCATGTGTGCACATATGTGTATGCTGGGAACACTGCTGGTATGATGTTACCCAGTGCCACTGCATGTGGTTATTGAACACGTGCCAAGTTGTAAACACGGCCTGGTGCTCAACCACAGATGTTGTTTCAATCAGCCTCCAGTCGGGCTGAAAAATAAATCCTGGAGGTCCATACCTGTGTGATTACCATTTCTAATTATAGTTTGGAGCAGTAAGTCTGAGATGACAAAACGAGACGGGCCCTCGGGGTGTTGTGAACGTAATTATATCCTGACAATTAATAGGCCCGCTCCTCAGAGAAGTTTGTTATATGATGAGGAACCTGTCAGATTATGGCTCGCCAGGAAAGCCTTTGAATTATGGCATAATTACAAGGGAAAACATGATATACAAGGATCATAATTATCCCCAAGTACAGTAACAGTAAATGCATTGCCTTTTATGATACAAGTCATTTCTCTCTCAGTGGGCCTGGTACACAGAGCAGCAGCTGCTGGGACTAAAGATGAAATATCCTGGACCGAGAAAGCATTACGCTAGGCCACAACATCCTTTAAGTGTTACCTTATTCAGTTGATCTGTTGCAATTGTACACAAACAAGCTGGGCAACACATACAGTTAACTAATGGTCATGCATGCAAATAGTGAAGACTGAAGTGCCACACTTAACAGAAACAGGAATATCTGAGAAAGGCATACAGCAAGAAAAGTATTGTATTTATTGCATGAAGAATTCAAGGCGTTTGTTGGGATAAGACGCGTTCCTTATCACGCTCCAGTCGCTACCGCATTGTGAGGAAGCAGCTGCATCAAAGCTTCCCCTCACACTTGTGATCCACACAGGTGTTTTCACTTACATTGCTTAATTAGTACTCTCTGGACTGTGTGGGCATGTTCAGACTCGGCTTGATTGGCACCTCTCTCCAACACCTGTTAGTTGTCTTGCACCTTAAAGGGCAGAGGACATCTCACACCTTTATAACGTAACATTTTGGTTTCTAACGAGGTGTGTCCATCTTCAACCTGAGCAGAGATGCAATCAGCAAGGATAACTGAAAACACCTGTGTGAGTTAGCCGGGCCTGTTTAACGGGCCTCTTTGTGTGATATAAACCACACAAAAGTCAAATCAGGCTTCTAACTGGCCAACATTATAAAGGCTATTATGAACATAATAGTAAGAATCTAAAATTCTGCAATTTTATTGATTAAAAATTCAAAACATTGTCATTTAAATGTGTGTAAAATTGCATAATGGGTTTGAATTGTGCACGGTCACACTTGGATATTAATTACATGAATGACACCTTTTTTTTCACAAACTCATCTTAACATAGGTTACACTATGCAGGGCGTCTTTGAGTGTCAACAAAGGGAGCTTAGCTTCAAAGTATTTTACCACAATCTCATTCTACTGATCTATTTAAAACTGCATTCATTTGTTTGTGGGAAAAGGAGCATCCCAGCAAACACTTGTATGTATATGCTAACTGCTGGTTATCAGAGTTAGCAGAGCCCAATGCGTCCTCCAAATTAGTTTTTTTTCATTTTTTTTTCAAAGATTTATTTTTGGGCTTTTGTGCCTTTAATGGAGAGATAGGAAAGTGGACAGAGATGGAAATCAGGGAGAGAGAGTGGGGACTGACATGCGGGAAAGGAGCCACAGGTTGGATTCAAACCTGGGCCGCCCACGTTGAGGACTACAGCCTCCATACATGGGACACTCGCACTAACACTGCGCCACCAGCGCCCCATAAGTTTTTTTTTTTAACAATATTAAAATGTTTATTTTAACTTGGACCTGGTCTCATGCTTAATGAGACCCTCAACTTTGATATCTTTAAACATGTTTATTATTTTATTACTAGGAAAAGTACTCGTGTCTATAAAAGAATCAGTTATGGCTGTATTTAGTTTCAAGGGGGTTTCCTTGTGTGCGCTGCGTCACTGTCACTCTGTCATGACTCACAAAAACACTTGAGTAGAACAGAGCCTTGTTAATGTTTGAGGTAACACCTGTGCTCAAACTGCTATGAATATTGGGACTGTTCATCATTCGATGTACCAAGTCGCAAGCCAAAGTGAGAGAGTATCATGGTGAAGGAGGAGGAAAGCTAGCCAAATGATTATTAAAAACCTGATGAGAAATATGTTCTCCCCATTAATGATTTTCTTGCTGATGTATTATTCATTGAAATGATTACCAAATCATTGTAAAAGCCTTAGGGCTAGAAATGAGCTTTGATTAGTCCCAAGTCAAGGTTATTTAAGAGCTAGCTTCATGGAAGTCCTACCCATACTGAGCTGCAGACAATTTAGGTGCATAATATTTCAAGTCTGTCCAGTGAGGAGCCCAGATAAATATTGACACTGGTATTATTTTCTGTAATTCTTTGGTCCATTAGAAATCCATTCCTAATGTCCTCATTCTGTAAGAAAATGTTTTCAAACTTTATCTCAGGCTAAAAGGAGGCCTCAGCAGTCTCCCAAAATACAAGTACTGTTTGCATACTATTAATTGCATCACTTTGTTAAACAGACATAACTCAACCTGTTTTTTTTAAAAAGCTGGTATGAAGACACAGTTTCGCAGCAGAATCTTGAGATTCCTGCTTCAACCGATTTATCCACTTCCATCTCTCCTGCCCCGTCAGCTCACATCTGCCCTGGATTTTTGAAGCCTTTTCATATTTTCCACCCTCCTGCCATCCCTCCCCATGAAACTTTGGAGAGAAATCAAGAGAGAGTAGAAGAACATGATGTGTACTGTATATAAAGTGTGTGAGCAGTGAGCACAGGCATGTGTTTGACAGCCATGAAGAGAGGCAGGTGAGGGGAGGCCGAGGGGTGGGCGCGGGCTCTTGACGTGCCAGTCAGTAATACTTTTGCTCAGGTCGAGGAGTGCTCACCAGGAGGGTGTGTTGCTGCTGGAGAGCTCTGTAATGAACAGAAGGCTGGCTTGGTGCCTGATCAAATTCCACAGCAGCCTCATATCTATCTTGCCTTCCAAAAATGTTCAGCATACCAGTGGGTTTTATTGACTTGTCAGAGCAGACAGCCGACTGCAAGCTCTGCCTTGTAAGGTGTGCAGTTAACAGGTTTCTGAAGCAGGAATGTCTGCTGATGACTTCTAATTTGCAATTGTTTTTCATGCTTTTAGAGCAAATCGATCATTAGTGTTGTGACTACAACTTCAACATGTGTTGTGACAGGAGTAATTGAACACTGGACTTAGTCATGTTTGCTCATGTTTCTTTTGTATTTCATGCTACACCAGATGAGTCCACCATTAGCTCGCAACAGATTAAACACTTAAAACAGTTTCTCCAAAAACAACACACTGCAATGTTGCATAAAAAAAACAACATCGTTCACACAAACTAGTGAGTTTCCCTCAAATACATTTTCTGACCCTTACCCAATCTGCAACTCCACTTTTCTAATCAGCAAAATATGTGTGCTTAAATGAGGACTGTTTTACCTGTAAAACCCCCAACCCAGTTTACAGGTTTTAATGGGATCGGCCACATAGATAAACCTTTTTTTTCCCCTTACCTCAAGTGATGTCACATGAGTCAGCGTTTCTGCTGAATCTGCATGTTTGAGAATAAAACCCAAACTCTACTGAAGTTTGAGTACAAAGAGGTGATTTAACTACACCTCTGTTGCCCACACCTTTTCTGAAGCTACATTATCATAAACCCCCTGAATCTCTGACCAAACTTTTGGCGAGCAATTTGCATTTGGGGTGATGTATTGTCAAGGAACAATAGTATGCCCATTGAATCCAACACTTCTATATTTTGTACGAAATAATAATTATTTTGTGTTGCACAAAGAGTGATTTCCACTAGCTGGATAGGGAAGGTTGCATTAAATCTTTTTTCTATATCATGAAGGTGATGAAACGATGATTAAACGGCCTTCAGGGTATACATCAAACATCTCCAGCATCTTCTATTTATCAAAGAACTGTATGCTGAGGACAGTAATCACATGAAATGTTAATACAGGAGAGGCACAAACAGGGGGGGTTAGTGTGAACATGCAAAACTCTACAAAACATCCTTCTTCCTGACGAGGCTGCTCATGGTATTTCCCACAGTCCAGCAGGATGCGTGCAAACACTGTTACGGACTGGAAAGCGGGGGTTGACTTTCACTGGTGAGACTGAGTCAGGCTAAAACAGCAGTGGTAAAGTGCCAATGCTGACAGATGCTACTGCACAGCATCTTTCTCGTAATAACTTTAGCCTCCCCCCCCTTCTTTCTGTCATTCTACTCCCTTTCCTTTCACCCCGTCCTGCAAAGACAACTAACTGCATGACCATCCGCGATGAATGGCGGTTAACAGCTGCCTCTTTTTTGATGGGTGCCTGTGAGAGCATGTAATTGCATTTGGCCCTGGGTGTACATGCACTCATTAAACCAGTGTCAGTGCCCATTACATTCCACAGCAGTGCAACTCAGGTACAGAATGCAAATCCAAAGCATGAAGACTGGGCTCTGTCTGCAAATGCTTCATTCCTTTAGCACATGAGAAGTCCTCAACACTCAACTGATAATTCCATGTGAACAAGCCAGTCACTATAATGAGCACAAATAAGACAAGAATCTCATGTATTCATTGTGTTAATGTATGAATTTAAAAAAACACACCTTAAACTAAACCAAATCTAAAATAGATAACAGCAAGAAAAGAAAAATATCTCACTGTTAGTCGAAAGAGGATGTATCTTGTGGGGTTATCTAGCTGGTCCCAGTTGTTCGGGCTCAGAGAGGATAAAATCTGCTACGTTGGGACCCGTTCCACGCTGGGATCAGATGCAGAATTCCAAAAATGCCCATCCACATGCCAACATTCAGTGTTGGATAACTTTTTAGTTTTGCTGAACCATCTTACAGTATCTCTCTGCCTTTTGTTTTCTGGTTTAAAATGTATTAAGTCATAAGCTTTTCAGGGAATTCATCTTGAGACCTCTAACCTGAATCTGCTGATGTGGGAAGGAAGATAGGGGTCTTAAAGATTCCTCAAAACCACAAAAACAGACCTCATGTTCTCAGTGGCTTTCAGGTCTCATATCCATCAGTTATTGTGATACGTTATGTCATGCTGTGTCCATTGTTATAAGTGGGGCCTCTCTATTTTTTGAGACAAACCATCAGTCATGTAACAGCCAGGAAGGTGCTCTGTCTGTCTGAATCCCACAATAAATACCGCAGAGACAAAAGAAGACGTGACATCTCACACAAGAGACTCAGAGCTGGACGTTAACCTCCTGCTGCAGCGCTTGTTTCTCTGTAAACATGACATGACAGAACATCCATGACATCCATGAGACAAAGGATAACAGCTGATAAAAAAGATGAGCATGTCATTATTCGTTCAAGGCCCCACATGTCTTAGAATGCACGTGTGCAATGTAATGCTAGTGCAGCCTGACACCTAGTGGACAAACCGTGTATGCACAAAGTCCTGCACAAAGTCCTGTACTAATCACATTGACATTACCACTCCCAGAAAAAATAATACATTCAACAATGTTGTTGGTAATATTAGTCCTACATGATTGTTAATTTAGCAATAGAAAACCCTACAAAATAAAAATGTTAGGGTTTTGAGTTTAAAATGTGTAAATATTATACTATATGCTCAGTTAAATTTATAAAAAGATAGCAAAATTAGGGAGAATATTTATTTCAAATAACTGAATAATGTTTGGCAACATTTTCCAAACAAAGCCAATATATTAAATTAACAATGTAAAATCAAGTTGTGTTGCTTTTGTGGAGGAGGATTAGCAGAAGGCTATGATTAATCAGTCTGTATCTAAGAGGGCGATCATGGCTGTAAGTGGTTTTAAAATGTATTTTTTGGGGGGCTCCACCAAGCGGTGAGGTTGCACTCCATGTACAGAGGCTATGGTCCTCCAAGCGGATGTCCTGGGTTCAAATCCGCTCCTTCCACTGTCTTGTAAAATAAAGGCAAAAGCCCCAAAATACATCTTCCAAAAAAAAAAAATATTATATCCATGGAGCTTCTTCTTTTTATGTTGTACCTGTATACTCTTTCCTGTAGGTCAATAATTATTTATTTTGTGTAATTTGTGAATAAAAACTCAGGATGATTTCATGAATACAAAAATACAAAATATATGATTCCAAATTTAGAGACTTTTCTTTTGTTCCCAACTCACTCAGGGATAAATTATTGTAGTAGCCTATCACAACTTGAGGGGAAATTGTGAATTTAATGCTTAGGTTGACCAGCAGATGGCGTAATCTGTCAAGTTTCCTGATTGACAGGCTTTACTCATGAACTAGGCCTTTATGTGGACATTGTTTACCACATTCAAACACCACATGAAGGAAATCACTCAGCTTCTCTACCTTATATATGGAGGATGGATATCAAGGATGGCACAAACAATGCATCTCTAACAAACACATGCAAAAAAAAAACAAGGTTTAAATTTATGGTATTCAAGCTTTTTTTTATAACCTTTAATTTACCCATATTGTCCTCAATACATAAGTTATATCCAGGCTTTTAGGACATCCAGAATGACTTTGGACCGGTTTGACACGCCCTTTAGTTTTATTTGGTCTAAATCTGGCGGACACTGTTGCAACTGTGTGCCTAACTGTTTTCTGGTGACTCGAATAATGAGCTATAAAGAAGAGACAAAGGGAGTGTATGTGTATGAGAGAAATAGAGGGAGAGAGAAAGAGAGAGAGCGAGATCCCTCCATCCTTCCTGGTGGGAGGTTTGAGATGCGCTGCGCAGACCCGTCCGCTACCGACGCATCTTCCTGGCCTGCCCCCCTTCTCTCAGTCTCTCCCCCCCCCTCTCTCTCTCTCAGTCTCTCTCTTTCCTCCTTTTCTGTCTGCCTTTTTTCTACCTGAAGGGAAGTGCACGAAAGCCGAGGAGGGAAAAATCTGGCGTGTCGTCTCGGCCCTGCGCGCTATGCTGCGGTAAATCCCGGGCCGCTGTTTGCGGTGTTTACAGGGGATGTAGAGAGGGACGGAGGCACCGCGCCGTGTCTGCTCTGCTCTGCCCAGCCCGCTGCATCGCCGAGCGGCCTGTGAAGCACACAAGATGTCGACCAGAACGCCATTGCCCACGGTGAACGAGCGTGACACCGAGAATGTAAGTACTCTCCGTCCCCAGTCGCCGACGTGTTATCGGCCGTGGGAACTGGATAAACAGCGGGGATTTGGCGTTTTTTTTTTCTTTCTTGTTGTTGTGGCACTACGCGTTTAGCAGAGCTTTTTTTTTTGGTGCTAGTGTTGCAGAGCTCCTCGGATCAATGGGAACTCAGCCTATTTTTTCCACTCTGACGGGAATAAACCGCAGGCAGCCTTGAATAACCCAGAACAGAATAGAAAGGTGCAGGTCGGTTATGTCTGCTTATGTTGTTGTGTACAATGTAACAACGCACTGCGTCAGTGTGCCGCCTTTTAACGATACATGCGAAGCGTGAATGTTAATGTGCAGAATGAAAAGGTTGCCTTTGAGGCCTGTGGGAGAAATCATGTCGCTCCACTCTTGCAACTGTCGGTATTTTCTGGTCCACAACGTCAATATTTCGGGAGGGTGGGGGAGGATGTTGCCCTACTTTTCAATGGCAACGCTTGGTAGCATCGCAATGTGACATCCATCACCTATTGGGCCCTGTTGTAACTGCACGCTCAGTGCTAAGGAGGAGGAAGAGGAGGAGGAGGAGGAGGAGGGAGAGTGCTATTATTCACCGTTTGCTGCCACGACACTGAAGAGCAGCACACACAGACAAGTATTTATTCAAAGGCTAAAGAAAAATATGCAGATTTCTCATTCACTTCGTGTGAAGGAATGTTTATGAACGACCACCACCCCCCCCCTCCTCCTCCCTCCCTCCTCCCTCAAGTGCTTCTCGCAGGCACACAAAGAAGAGCGTGATAAAATGAGTATCTCTGCTGAGATCAGTCCAAACGAGGACTGCTGTGTGTATGCTGACAAGCTCTGACATATCTAGGTTTGTCTGATTTTTTTTTTCTTCTTCTTCTTCCTGGAAACAAGATGAGGCACAGGCCAAAGCCTCTTATTAGATTGTGTTACAAGCACAAGCAGTGGAAAATAGCCAGAAGCCGACCATCAAAGGTTAGTCTCATGTCTAAAAATAGGGCCTTTATATCATCACTAGAACCTGCAGGATCGTTGTCATCTTCAGGTGATCGAAATGTTTTCACAATAAAGGTTTTCACAAGCCATGTAACGTCCCCTAATGTAACTTTGCATCCTATCTGATCCTTTCTCTGCTGGTGTTCAGTGATGCATCAGTTTAGTGGGGCTCTAATGTAACTGTCTCACACAGTTTAATTCTGCTTCAGCTCTCATAGACATGGATATGGACTGCTGGACAACTATTAAAACTCAGCTCAGGAGCACAGGCAGTAGTAGCTGGGCAGCCGAGCCTGCCTCTGTTTGACTCCATCAGGCAGCCCCGAGGCCCACTAGCAGCTGAACTGCATTGCATAACAGCTTATTACTCAGAGAGACGAGTGGCTTTTAGCGCAGGAAAATAGAAGAAGCTCTCCCATGGCTTTCTTATTTTTATGTGTCTGCACAGTTGTGTGCTATACTTTATAGGCCGGGCATTCATGAAGATGTAACATCGTAATGGTTGTGAGTTAATGGTTGGGTGAGTGAAACAAACTTTGTGTGCCTGCACAGATGCCACCTTATAGATTACAGTAAGCTACACTAAGAGTGTGTTTGTGTGTATGGGCACATGTGACAGAGGATGAATTCTGTAAATGACAAGTCTGATTTAAAGTTGGTTTAAATGACTAAAGACAATTTAGTATCAATATTTATTGGCTGCATACTTAACTCTGTAATGGAAGGAGTTTTGGTGCATTAGAAATGGGGGTGCTGACTATGACTGGCATCAGATCAGCGTTTTCTCCTTGCTCTCACTCTCTCACATACACACACCGTCACACCAGGAAGTGTTTGAATCCTGCAGTGTAGCTCTCCCTCTGTCAGGATGTGGGATAGCTTAGGTTGATGCGCACCCTGCAGGGTGTAGCATTCCCCCCCCCCCCCACCCCCCCTGTGAAATGAGAGCAGGGGAGCCTGGGTAACCAGACCAACGCTTTATTCTCTGGCTGGGGTGTGGTGCTCTGGAGCAAAGGATCATGGGATTTCTGACCTGGACTGACATCAGCAGCTGTTATAAAGGAGTGGAGATGGACCAGCAGAGAGTGTTGGGAGTCTGTGCCAACATAGTACTTATACCAGGCTGTTACTCACCTTCGCGTGCCAATCACAGGGACACTTTTTGTTTGCGTGTTCAGCTATGAAGCTGAAGCTAACATTGTGCGAAGTCTGGACTTTGCTCAGAACATTTTCGCAAATGCGCAAAGTCAAAGGAGTTCTCTTTCTTTGATCAAAAGTTGCCTGAGGACTGGTAAGGTCTGTAGGTGAAGAGGTTAAGGTGTCATGGAGGGGAAGACAAGAGGAAACCTGAATCTCTCCTCCTCTTTGTCCTTTTTCGAGCAGGGTACCACTTTGTGTGTCTGCATGCACGGAAAACGTATGGATATATGCTCTGACAAACACACCACATCCACACAGTGGATCCCTTTCTTGTATCTGAGTCATCTGTGTTGATGTGTGCATCTTTGTTTGCACAGAGGATATCCTAGCTTTGGCACAAACACAAATCTCCACTGCAGCACTCTGCTGCATCGTTTGTACGTGAAGAGCCGGTGTAGGAAGAGACAAGAACTACTGAACTTACTGAGTGTCCTACAAACAGGCAGAGACGTTAAGAGACGTATACTGTTAAATCGAAAGTGTCTGATCTCCACATGTTTGACTTTCCTGCAGCACTCGTCGGTGGACGGCTTTGTGGAGCCCCCCGTCCCCCCGACAAAGTCTGCGAGTCGCCACAGCCTGCCGCGATGCCGCAACTCCTTCACCTCCACAGAGGAGCACCCTCATGTCGGCAATTACCGCCTCCTCAAGACTATTGGGAAGGGGAATTTCGCCAAGGTGAAGCTAGCACGACATGTCCTGACTGGACGAGAGGTAAGAAAAGTTTTTATCATGTTTAACTATATAATCAAAATAGAATTCCTCTACAGATTATGTTTTGGCTTCTATTAGTTAGGAAAGCCAAAAAAAACAGACAGGAAGTATCTGTTGGAAGGAGAAGGTGGGGTAGACTTGCTGCAAAGGGCCTTGGATCTGAGTGGAACCTGCAGCGATGAGTTGTGGACTTTGAGCTCCTTCTCAAGAGGCTGAGCTAAACCAGCACCCCATAACATACTGTCCTCCTTGAGATAAAATCACTTTGGATTCAAAATTCATTATTAAGAAACATGTCTGCGTTAAAATGTCTAAAAACAAAGAGCGGTTGTTTTATTTCACATCAAGTTTTGAGCCCTTTTTTTTTTTTTACCAAATGTTTATAACAGTGTGTTTCATTTGAAGCCTGTCTTTCTGGAAACATCAGATAATTCATCAAACATATTGGAGGGAATCCATTGAACTGTTAGTGTGGTCTTATGTAACTTGTGGCAATTTAATTAGCATCAAATGATAAAATCAGTCAAATTTGAATACATAAACTCATCTGTAAACATGATTATTGCCGAGTTAAGTCAGACAGATTTTTCTTTTGAACAATTACGATGGTGGTATAAAAATAAAGACTACATCTCCCATGATCCAACACATAATTTAACCACTTTTTTATTATTGGCTGAGTCTGAAACCAAATCCTACATACTGAAACAATATATACCGCATACTAACCTCACTGTTTGCCGTTAACAACATACTAAACTACGGGTAAGATGATTTACTTCCGGTCTGAGCTATGTTGAATATGCTAGCATCAAGCTAGCGCTATTCTTGGTCTGTAAATCGATTTCAACTGCAGTCTGCAGTTCATTACTTGGCCACATATTAAGTGTATTTCAGTATGGTTACTTTTATTTCTATGCTGACGGTGAGCTCTGTGATTGGATAGTCTGAAAGCCGCTGTGCGTTGTGGTTGGGTTGACCAGTGCGCTCTCTTTCATATGTAAGAGTTCTGTAGACATGCTGGCATTTCTCGCATGCACAAAATTGCATACTACGATTTTGGATCATACTATAAAAGCCATTGTCTTGGTTTCAAACTGCAGGAATTACATTATGCACATCATAAGTCATCTGCTCATTCCAACTCACATTTATCATTTCAGTTACATTTAAGCTTCCCCTAGAGAAGCCGCATAGTGGACAGATTATTTATTAACTCTTCCACAGAGAGAGAGTTTATACTGATACTGTTATTTCGAGTTTTTTTTTGGCCTGAAAAAGGGAATGATGTGCCCTTAATGCAAAAAAATGTTATTGAGTATGTCAGTTTTCCAACTTTCAGACCAGGTCAAGCCCTCTCTCTCTTTCTCCCTCTCACACAAACCCACGCATACTCACAGTCATACATTGCTGACCTGTCAGGGTGATAGACATCCTGCTTCGGTGTGTCAGTAATTAAAGCTCCTGTTTCCCTAAGGAGAAAACAACGGCCTGTGATCTGTTCTCTGTCCTTCAATCAGCTGTAGAGACTCACCGATCGACCTCGCATACCTGCTCATGTCTGTGTAATAGATTCTTACAGGCTTCAATCTTTTGGGTGTCATTATATTCTTGGGCATGTCAGAGTATCGAGGGCATGAATGTTCCTCCAACTCAAACCAGCTACAGTTTGATCCATACTGCATGCTTTACTGCTAATGCTAAACAGGCACATTGGCTATGCAACCCAGTGTTTGCTGAGAAGGTCAGGCTCGGCTTTGTGTGCCTGAGCGCCTTTGCTGGCTCATCAGAATGCAAAGACATGGATCAGACTGAGGAGAGAACAGGTGGAAAGAACATAACCCACTAAAACCAACTTTATCTTTGCTTTGTGCCAGCAAATCTCACACACCAGCAGAGATTTTTCTATAAACTGAAAAGTTTTAAACCTTGAAAATAAAGGAAAAAACATCATAAAGAGCTCTGCGGGGAAAAAGCAGCGGTCTCCTCTATAGAGTGTCCTCTAACTGCTGAAGAGGGTGGCAACAGGATGAGGACACTCTAACACACACACATACACACTTGCTGACTTTCGCTTAGTGCACTTATGGAAACATTTGCCTTTACCATATGCCCTCACCTGGGCGATGACACATTATTATTATTATTATTATAAGTTTAATTCATTGTAAAGAAATTGTCATGTTACAGTTTTACTAAATGTTGTATTCTAAATGTGAATGTAAATAAAATACAACATTTCTTATAAAAAATCACGTTTTAGACTAATGTGTCCATAGATAAACTCCCCAATTATGAGAAAAGTCCATCCTCTCCGTCTTTTGCCTGCTCTGCTTTTCAAAAAGTATGTGCTCCAACAGGCCGTTTGGAGATTTTCCCTTTGTGACATCACAAAGGGCAGTAACCCCTCCCCCAGGTGGGTGACACTCCCACAGCTAGGTGTTTGTTCTGTCCTCTGAGTTTGCCTTCTCACCGTTAACAATAGGGCATTGTTTCGAGAAAGCCCAATCCACCAGCCCAAGACCTTTCAGAGAGGGGGCGTGGTCAGACACAGCTCATTTACATTTAAAGCTACAGACACAGAAACAGCCTGTTCTGAGCAGGGCTGAAATAGAGGGGTTTATTGACATGATCAAATACAGGATTAGAGTGGATCTTTAGTAAGAAATTCACAGACATGTTTTGGGAGCTCTGAGACTTATTTAAACTTGTAGATAAGGAGTATAATATGTGACCTTTAAATAAACTGACTATCACTTTAAATATCTGTTGCTTGTTTCTGGATACATTTGTCATGTGATATATAGCAGTATGGTCAGGGACTGCTAATTGTTTAATCAAGTGATTCATATTTTTATCTAAACAACTTAAAAAAAAAAAAAGAACATCAAACAGCAGCAACGTCTCAGAAAACAAACTTAAATGAAGACATGTTTGTCATCTTTGCTTGACAAAATGCTTTAACCATTAACTATTTTGTAGTAGTTCTCTTTAAACACACACAGTGCAGAGAACAAAATGAAAGAACTAAATATAGAATTGCAGCTATTATTAGACCTAAAAGCTGAACAAAGATAAGTTACCATGAACTTACAGCTCTTAAGTGGAAAGAAGAAATGCAAAATAACAAATGTATTAAAAAATCTGTCAAGCGGCCTGGGTTCAAATCTGGCACCTTTCCCGCATGTCATTCCCCACTCTCTCTGTCCCTAATTTCCGACTCTATCCACTGTCCTGTCTCTCCCCCCCCCCCCCCCAAAAAAAAAAAAAAAAGTAAATTAAAAAATAACCCGAACATCAGAATTCAAGCAACATGGTAACTCATAATTATAACTCTTGTTGCCCAAGTGTTGCAGGAATGCATAACACTAATGTCAAATCCAAGTTTTTATCCCACAAAATATACAGACATAATCTATCTGAATAAACAGAAACCTAGAATTTTGATTCTTCATTTATTACTTTACCTACAGTACATAGCAGCATCTTTTCAGTGTTTGAGATAAGACCTTATACTCTGCTAAAGTATTTATCTCTAACAGAGACATCATTTTCCTGAACTTGTGAAAAGGAGAGCTTGGAGGGGAATAATAAGTGGAGGGAAGGATGTAAAAGAAAATCATCAATACTCAAGTTCTTCCATTTGAAGTTTCCACCTTATGTGCTTTTCTAATATTCACACATACGCTCGATCACAAGACCTGCATACGGTGGGGAGCATATGGGCCTTGTGTCCTGACTGCGCTGAATAATTAACAGTGATGCTTGTTGCCCTTCTGTCACTGTGGGACTGAATTATTCACCCTCAAGTCCATTTAGAATGAAAACACACACACACACACACAACAACAAAACACTGATATGTGATGTGATGCAATTCATCCAATCTCTCAATCTGAGACTCCAAAGGCAAATATTGGTTCAGTGCACGGTGAGGAAATGTAATAAATACTTCTGACTCATGCAGAGGGAATAGTGGAAGTTGGAACAATAGAGTGATACATGACGACAGCTCTAATACCGGCCGGCTTAAATTGACACACACGCAAACATACACATGCCTCTCTCTACCTGGGTGTTGTCCATGACAGGAGGAGGCAGAGAAGAAGGGAGTGAGGTCTGTCTGTGCACCTGCCCACCTAACACAAGGCTGCAAATAGACACCACCTGCGTGCTGCATGTGTGTACAAACATGAAGCCTCTCTGCAGTCTCTCCCTCTGCTCTTTCTTCTCTCTGCTAGACTCTTTCTCTTGGCAGTCACATTTTTTGGGGTATGGATGAATTTCAGTGTTCCTGCAAGTTGAACTCGGGGCGGGGGGCCCACTGCACAGGATAAATAACCTTCCTTCTTTATCCGCTGTGACTCAGCATTTGTTTTGTGGTTCCCCCTTTAGCAAAATGCTTTGGAATAGAGCCAGAGTCTGCATCCACCGAAGCAAGTTTATTAAGATGTCTTGAGGCAAAAGTCAGAGTAACAATGTTGTAATAAATAGTAATGTATACGCCGATAGTGTCATTAGTCTAAAAGGGTAGTTTCTCCCCTCCTCCCTTTTTGTATAGATGGCAGAGGAGAGGGGTTGCAAGCCCTTTATCAAAAGACGAAATGTTAATCCACAGCAGTGATTGAGGTTTCCATAAGTTTGCAGTACTTGTACCTGGTGAAATGCTAACTTAGCTCTTGTCAAGCAGCAGCTAAAGCTGTTATCAGATATGTTGTTTTACCTTCAATCACTGCCACATCACCGCCATCCTGCCATTTCACACTCAAAACTGTGAACTTTAAATGTTTTGTAATATTCCTTAATTGCAAACTACAGTCTGCTCTCAGGTACCGCAATGTGAAAGCCTTTGAGCTCGCTAAGAGTGATGTTAGAGGAAAATGGCCTCCTTTTGAATAGGACTAGCCGTAACCTCCAGAGTTAAAAACAAAATTTAAGTCAATAAAGCGGTGCAAAAAACCTGCAGTTCCTCAAAGTGTCCACTTGAGGTTGTCTGCAAACACTAGGGAATCCCCATTAGGTCCCATATTAAATTTTTACAACTGAAATAAAATGTGTTTACAGCCTGATTTAAGAAAAAAAAGAAACGTTGGTATCAAAAGCCCATTTCTTCATTGGTGCATATTGTACAGGAGCTGGATTTTCTGTCACTCAACCGTTTTGATTTTATTAAATCTAAGAGCCTTAATAATAATAATAATAATGAGGGGTGTGGCTGAATTGAATGACAGCTGGGTGCATTGTAGGTGCCAGGAGGCTTAAGGGCTGCCTCAGCTTTACCGGTTTTTCCTGTTTTCTAGATTGATTAAAAGTTAGGTTGAGATAGCATTTCCAATATGGCGATCGCCATCGTTTGGCTTCTCAACGCCCCTTCAGAAATGAAGGGGTAAGGTCATGGTCTGGAATCCCTTACCGGCCTGTGAGCCTCTGATGCAAATGTTTAATCTAATCTCTATTTAAATATTTTAGAAAACTTTTTGGTTGTCACTCTACCAAAACTTTAAACTGAGATATGATGAAAACATGTGGTGTCAAAGTATTGCACAATTTGATAAACATCTTCAGTTCTTGGTCATATTTTTTTGTCTTTTTGTGGCACAGTTTTATAAACCTGTTGTGTTTTGGGTAACTGGTTGCCTGTCAGAACTTTCAAACTTTTTCAGTGTTTGTTTTTAGTCTCTGTCTTTTCTTGTTTTGCAAGCTAGCTTCAAAAAACTGTCCTTGAAACTGCAAACATGACACCCTAAAGTATGACTGAAAGGATTTAACGGACAAGGATAACTATAGAAGTGTGTTGGCTGTCTGAATATTCAGCTGTATTTCTATAATATTGTCGTAGACATGCAACACGCGGCATTCTGGTACATGGAGGCACTGGGGGCACCGCTTAGCTAGCAGAACAACTTAGCTTTCCTGCTCAATATAGCACACACGGAGGAATTTACTGCTTCAATTCACTACATTTACCATTGAAACGGACTTGTTACCCTACTAAATTGCGCTGAAAATCTCTAACAAATCCTACAACATAAATATCAAGCTTTTCATAATGTTGAGCAGGCACGGGCTTGGAGACATTTTTAACCATTAGCTGTTGTTAAATCTGCATAATTATTGAATGATTTGGTGCGACTACTAAAGGCCACATGTGTTACATAGTTGATTTACTGTATATTACATTGATCAGATCACATTATAAAACTGCTCAGTCAATCATTAATCAGTATAATGTACTACTTACTGGTGAGGCTGCAGTATGGCTCAGCTAGTCTCTGTGTGAAAGCTGCTGAGGGGAGCAGGTCGGTTTCATTGTGCACTTTGGGGTGATTATTGAGATGGATGGTTCAGACTGCTGCAAAACAAAAACTGCAGAGCCGATGTCAAATCATCTACCTGCAGAGTCAGATACTCTAACATAGGCCTGCATGCCACAAAAGGGAACGTTTACTGAACAGAAATGCTTTCTGGGATTGTCTGTGGATGCATTTATTTACAGCAGTCGATGTTTTAAGTGTTTAAATTTATATTCCTCCTCACAAACGAATACATATTTCTATCTTCTCTTATCTATCTGCCAGTTAAAGCGCCCATCTCTGCACAAATTACTGGATAGAAGAGCCTTGAGGTGTGTTCAGAGCGAGCGCACGGATCCATCTGTGACATGTTTTGACAAAGCCGCCTCACAGCAGAATAGTGAAATAATGAGGATAGTTCATTTCCACACAAGCTTTCACTGCACAACCACAACACAAACACAAAGCTGGAATTAGTTTTGACATCTTGGTTGTTCTTTGATCTCTAAACCCCTCCTCGCTCTATCCCCATTTTTAATTTCTTCTTCTATGTGTTTTTTCTCTCTCTCTCTCTGTAGGTCGCAGTGAAGATCATAGACAAAACCCAGCTGAATCCCACCAGTCTACAGAAGGTGAGTGTTTGTTTTACGGCCACATGGTACCACTAATGTCTTGGGTTACAGAATCATGTCTTTTCCATTAGTCATTCCTGAGTCCTCGCTGCTCTTGTTTTTTGTTGCTCTTTGAACTCAGGATGTGCAATTTTACATAATGTAATCAGATGTAGTCAAGAGAGACCACAAGGCTTGTTTAATCTCTACCTCCCCTCCCTCTCCCACTTTACTTCTGACTCGCTATTGGTTTGTGGTCAGTGCAGCTATAAATACCCCCGCTTGCTTGCCTGCCTGCCTGTTTGTCACTTACTCTTGTTTAGCAGTCATAACCAATTAATAACAAAGGGTTAGGGTCTTTTTTTCCTGATTACTGAAGCCAAATGTAGCTCTTTCTGCTGATTAAACATACACACGCATCCATGCACATATCCTCATGGTGGATAAAACTGTTGATAGACTACAGTAGACCTATAGCATAAGCAACATTCATCTACTGTACGTCTGAAAATAATGGTGGTCTGCAGGGAGAAGGATTTAATTCGGTGGTCATGACACTATCGTAGCATCGCTCATCATCGCTACTCTTTTATTTGTTTTAGTGTTTTGTAAAGGATGAACAAATTGCTAAGCTACTGCCGTTATGAGTCATTATAATAATGGAGCATTTAAAGCTTCCACACCTACATTAACAGTTTATGTCTTGATGGATCACTTGGCCTCTGTCTCTCTGCAGACTGCCAAGGTAAGAAAATATTGCTTAACAAGCCGTGTTAATGACAGAATCATAGCAACAATTATCCCCCCCAGCATACCTTCCATCGAGCATTGGTCTGAGTAGGAATGGGAGGAGTTTAAGTATTTGAAGACCTTCATCCACAAAAAGCCTTTTTACGATGTAATAGTAGGCATCATACAGCATCGAAAATTTGTTTTTTTCACGTTGAAAATCTTCTCCCTTTAATTTCAACATGTCGTTCTGATGATGATTTTGAAGCTTGGACCTTTATTTTGAAAGTTGTGGATTTCATTATGTGTATTAAACATAAGACTTGTCACATGGAAGTTGTTTAGATTTTTTCACCCAGCGCTAGCTTTGTGCTCGACTGACTTCTGATGGCTGTCGTGTTTGGTGTTCAAAGTTGTCAGGCGTCTATTTGTGTGTGTGTGGGTGTTCAGTCCGAGCTGTTGATGATCTTTTTTAGTGAGTTGCTGTTGAACAGCGGGTTAGGGAGTTTAACTCCATGAATAAAATATGGTATGAGCTAACCCTACAGAGCCACCATTCTGTGCTAGCAGTGCATATCTATGCTAACTCCTCAGTATGATATGAATGGAACATGGTTTTGTAACTTACAATTTAGTGAATAGTTAAGGTAAATGGTTTTCAGATGAAAGGGCCTCCGCTGTCTCTCCTGATTGTGACTCAGACAGCTCAACACACGAGGCTGCAGGACATTGATTGTCACAGGCTTCATCGTTGTGTAGTGTCAGGCAGATGTCAGTAAATGTGATCGGCCACACCCGCACAGTATAAAGAATTGGTCTTAATCTATAGCGGCAACCTCTGTTGTAAAAAAAAAAAAAGAAGTTCTTTAAGTGTCCACTTGAGTCAGGCTGCAAGTTGGGGGGCGCTCAGGAGAGCAGAAAAGAGAATGAAGCAGCTTTACCACGTTCATGACAATTGCCCCAGTCACTTGATACGAACGTCATCACTCCTTGTGGCCGGCTTTCGTGAATTTTCTTGAATATTTCCTGCTGCTTTCACACATCAGCTCAACCTGACTTCACACATATGTTTTGTTAGGGGTTTGGCGGGGGGAAAGTCCTCGTAGAGTGTGAGTGAAAAATGTGTCCGTGTGTGAAAACGCCACCATACAGTATGTCATTTTACTATTTCAAACCAAATTTGAGAGGCTTTCACTCGATGTGTCACCAAGGAAAATCTACAGGGTGAGGGTGTCATTTTAAAAGGCTAATGTGACTTACGTTAAACATTTTGTTCTGAGCTTAGATCCTACTTGTGAATTTGTAAAACAAGAAAAAAAAAACAGTACTGTAGACTACAGGGGTATTTGTAGTGCTCTGTAGTTTCCAGCACTGTCCTCCTCGTTTGTAATTCACTTGGATCTTAATGGGATCCAACTTCAATTCTTCAACCAATCAGCACAAAGACGCTGTGAGAATTTCAAGCATTAAGTTCCCTACTCATCCAATTGGAGATAAATGTCATTGTGAGCTTTCTTGTTAAACAGACTATTGTGCAGCTTCTAATCTGCACACAACCACACACACACACACACACACACACACACACACACACACACACACACACACACACACACACACACACACACACACACAGCAGAGTAATGAGCATTTAGAGTCATTGTGTGTATTTGTGGCATTACGATTCTGAATACAAACAGACTCCGTCCTCGTCGTTTTGGGACTTCTGTAGGTCATGAGTAGTTACACACTTGGTGGGTCATGTTGTCCGCTGCCTGGAGATGGGCAAGGCAGACGTATCATGTGAGGCTGTTGACCAATCAGTGTCTTTCTGATCAATTATTCAGTGGGCTTTTCAGATGTCAGCTGCAGTAGACCTGAGAGTGTGAATATGTACAGGTCTTTATTAGGGGGACTGTGGGTGTAATATCATGCCTCCACATTAAAGTTGAAGCTTGCATGTGCATGTCACTTCATGTGTTAAATCTAGAGCGTTTTGTATCTGTATTCGAATGCAAAGACAGGTTTATCTCTGCATTTGTCGTTGTATATTTTGATATCCTTTTTCCTGTTCTATAGATTGCTGTAATGGTATACATAAGTGCCATCTGCAATGCAGAAGCTTGCCTTATAATGCAGCAGTCGTCTCCTGGATTGAATCGATTGTCTCATTGACTCAGAGTGTCCTGCCTCATCCTTGTAAAAGCTCTGCTATGGATGCATTAAAGGCAACACCAACCTTTACACAGTTTTTTCCTCTGGTTGCTCATGTGACATCAAGTAAAAGAAGAAAAAAAAAACACCACTGTTAACTGGTAGTTGAGCACAATCCTGGTGTTTAGGGTTTGTAGTGATTGTAGGATGTGGCATTTAGTCAACTAAATGGTTCATGTCATCACTTTTGCTAGTCGGCACCAGCATCTCTAGTCGGTCACATGATTTCATAACCTTGTCTTATGTTTGCCCTTGTGCCGGTCAAATGTTATTTTCATACTGTAACTGTCACGTTCAGCCTCCTGGGACACCCCCCTCCCCCCCCATCCAACAGGAACACTCCTACATTTTCAGTAGCGCATTTGTTAAAAATGTGCTTAGGGATGCAAATGTAACCAAAAAAATTCCAATTTGTTTCAAATGGTTTTCTCTTGAGGTCGTCACCATGTTTCATTCTGGAGGAAGAGTTGTACTGATTTTTGGGCACCCTGTTCCTCTCTTGACCCGAGGAACAGCAGGGAAATCTGACAAAGAATGAGAAGTCACAACAACTTCTAGATTTTCTGTGTTACAAATCACAGCAATACAGCTTCTCGAATTAGAAAATGATCATCCACATTGTATCCTTACATGGTTTAATATCTGTTTCTGTGGCAGAGATGTCTTTTTCTAGAGGCTGATACAAACAGCAGATGGGTATAATGATGATTGATTGAATGACTCATGACTTATGCATGGTTTGGACATGAGAGGTTGAAGGAGTCTCAGTTGACCTTGTCTCCTTACTTTGCTCTGCCTTAGTTAAGGAAATACTTTGTGTTGAGGTGAAATCTTGTAAAAGTCACGAGTACCATTTAAGGTTTTTTTTTTTTTTTTTTTTACTTATCCTGTTTGTTTGTCAGGGTGTGTTAGACGTGAGTGAGGTTGATCTGGCTGCATCACTGTGAACGTCTGCTCTTTCATGTTAGCCCGACAAAATGCCACTGAGCTCTCTTTTTATGGTCTCAGAGGAGCCAGGCTGCGGGCTCACCATCTGGCTCTGTAGGCACAGCCAGAGATCTGGCAGATCCTATACAGCAACACACACACACACACACACACACACAATCCTGTATGAAACACACAGACACCGGCAGGAGATCCTTCAGTTAATGCAAAAGGCTCCAGCTGGCAGAAACTTTTTATTTTTTTGGTGTATTTGTTTGGGACACAGTTTTGGCAACACATCACACATATGAAAGACGCATTCCTGTACTTATGAGAGCTATTAATTTACTCGCTTATGCAAACTTGGGCATTAAGGTTGTCAAAATGTTCAATACTTCGATACTTTTCAATTTTGGAAATGATAAAGTCTCAGTTCTTTTAAATAATAATGCTAAAAACCAGTACTGAAGCTTAAAATAAATACGTTTGGATTCTAACACATTGCCAACAAATTTATGCAATTTAGATATTGTGCAGGTGTTTTCTGCACTTTATGGTGATTAGAAAAACAAGAAATGACCCTCTCTATTATGGTTGCTTTCTACATTTGTTGCAGTTGCCTCGAAAGAGGTATCTATATAATTAAATTTTCACAAGTACCATATGTAAATTCAAAGTTTGGTATTGTGACAACACTACACATTCTCTTACTTAACTAATTTTAGATTTAAAAGTGTGATCCGTAAAGCAGAGATAGCGTACATCTCATCTTTTATCACATTGTCTTGGTCACATTGGTGTTTTCTTGGATTACTTGATTTTAAAAATAGGTTAGCGGAAGCCAAAATTAGTCATGAGGTTAGAATGAAGCTCTGGTCTGTTCTTTTATGGCCCACTGGCGCTCTCTGTTGTGACTTTGTGGCGTTTTGCAGTGTAACAGGAAATGAGGTCAACTAAGCTTCCAAAGCAACTCCTTAGATCTGCCACAGGAAATGCATCACATGTCATCTGTGGTCAGGGATGTTGACGTTGTCATGGTTTTTAGGCATTTTAGCCCTAAAATAGACCTCTCGTTTAATCCCCTCTTGCACTGAGTAAACACTGCTCTCATCCCACCGTCCCATCGCTCTTTGGCTCTTTCTAATCTGTAAATAAGACTGATTTCTTTTCATTGTGTCCAGGGCAGCAGTTATGATTATGTTAGATTTTTGTTTGATGGACTAGTCATGACAGATGAGCTGCTTCAGTCTACACTGACTGAAGGTTTTTTCCTATTGTGAAACACATCTGCATTTAGAAAAGGGTCAAGATGTTGATTCTAGAGATGGAACAGTTCAGATGTAATAGTGATATCGTGTCCAATATTTACATAATTTACATATCTTGTATCGGACTGACGGCGCCAATCCATGTCGACGATTAAGAAAGATTGTTGGGCACTTAACTGCAAGTGCCAACAATTCGTCTCCATCAGGACTTTCAGACGAGATGAAACAGCTCCTTCTATATGATACCACTCTTACACCTCAGTTTAAAATATTTCACTTTTGCTGCTACTTGTTTGTACATGAAGAGTCTGCACACAGTTCCAATAACTGTCTTTGGAATAATGTTGTTTTTGTTGCATTTTTATGTATTGATATATATATATTTTGCTATTTGAATAAGAAATGCAATGCTGGGTTTACTGCAGCCTTACACATAACACCAACAATAACACTGGTCCTTAGGATTTTAAGATAAATCGTAATCAGTATCGTATCCGAATAGAAAAAAAAGTGGATCGGTGCATATCTTGTTGATTAGTGATTAATACCTTTACTGTATTTCAGTGTTTTCTGCCAGCTGCAAAAAGCACACTACAGGTCACGCTCTCTTAATGGCTGTTGATTACATCTGTCTTGTGCATGCCACCCTGCATTGGCCAATGAGCCTCCAGGCTGGAGGAGCTGTGGTCTTGTTCAGATGAGTGGAATCTGATTGGTCAGGCAGCTCAGTTGTCTGCGATGAATCACAAAACAAATCAAATGTCAACTCTGCTTAGATATGGATTTATGTGTTCATGTTTCTATGTTTTCAGTCTGGTTCGGACTTTGAATTAGAGTTTAAAAAAAAATTGAGCCTGCTGCCCTGGTGATGCAGACCATTATTATGAGGACAGAGAGACTTGTCTTTCCTTGTTGAGGTTATTTTCAGCAGCTCAAGAGTCGAGGACAGGACAGTTTGTCTAAATGTCAGTGACACTTTGGATCCATTCGTCTGCTCCTCTGTTTGTCTTTCTGCCTCTTTTGTCTTTCTTTGACAAACAGTGAACAGTGGTTATGAACTGATTTGAGGTTTTGAAGTACTATTGGCGCACATGCAAACACGCACGTACACGCTCATTGGAATTATGAGGGCTTCCAGGCTACTCAGCCTATCAATAATCTCCAAGTTGAATGAGCAGCTGTGCTGCTGTGACTGAAATAGTGCAGCCAGTTCCTGTAAGTGTTCCCAGTCTGATATCTGCTGCTCTGCTCCTTCTGCATGGGGACTCTGCTGTGATTAAGGCTAGTTTGGGAGTCTGGGTGCCCCTGGGTGGCTAGAAGTAGGTCACTGGCACAGACTACTGAGATTCAGGGGCATTGGAAACGGTGTGTTTTCATGTTGTGATGCACATTTTGTTTGTGACGATATTCTTGTTACCGTTTCCTGCAACCACAACCTTAATTCATTTTCCTAATTGAACATTTTAAATCTATTTAAATAAAAAAAGAGGTAATTTTAACTCATAAGATTTTTTTCTTTACTCATGGTGCCTTATACTAACGCTTAATGCTTCACTGAGACGTCCCTTTGTGGTTGTAGATATATTTAAAATAAATAGTAAACTGGATCCCAGATCCCAAGCTCATCATCTGGCCTCAATGGCTCAATCCCTATTGAACTCTTATTGACAAGCCCTGTTTGCTGTCATGGTTTTTCCACCGCCGTTCTCAGATTGGTTCTAATTTTTGTTTGGAAGTGGCTGCATGCGTGCTTCCCATGTGAGGGGCTTTAGGGCGATGACGTAAACCGAAGTGAGAGAGAGACCCAGACCGAGAGGCAGCAGTAAGAGGCAGAGATAATGCCTCTGACTCTTTAGCCCCTCACTCTTCCAGGATAATAAAGAGGGTCTGTCTCGACAGATGCGTCACATATTCATGCACAGGCTTGGGCACATGCATATCCGAGCATGAATCTTGTGTGTTTATTCTAGTGCACCGCAGGACATCTTTCTGTTATTGTGTCAGTGTGTTTCCACTCTAATTGACTTGTTTCCATGGGGGGAGCTCTCAGGCCAACACAGCAGCTTATGAATATGGAGCAGGGTTTGCCACACACGAGAAGCACGCAGGAGTTGTAGATTTATTTTATGGCAACAAACATGGCAACATAACAAGCTCAAACTATGAAAGCTGCAAGAATGGCCATTTTAGATTTCTTTAGTAATCTCAAAAGGAAATCGTAGCCTTCTGCAAATAAACACACAAGCACATCAGACAACAACCCTCTGATAAGACCTTTTAACTTCAATCAAACTTTATTTTCAAAGCACCAATTCATAACAAATGTTATTTCAAGACCCTGTACAAAAGAGCAGTTAAAAGCCCTTACTTATTGTTACATTATCTACAAAGACCCAACATTAAACCACGAGCATTTAGCAACTTGAAACTTGGGTAGAAAAAGAGAGGCTCATGCTTTGATGAGTCTATGATACACAGGAAGAAGGAATTAGTATTTTTATACTTTTTCTTCATACAAACGTATTTGTTGTCTTTGTCTTGTCACTGGTCTAATGATGTTATAAATCTTTAAAAAACGTCGACAAACATTAAAAGAATATGTAACTTCAACTTGATTAAAAAGTGCATTTTTGTTGGCTTTCAGTGGTGGGTTAATAAACATTAAGTGCTCAAGTAAGGTGTTACAGCAGTATGTGGGATAGAGCCCGACCGATTAATCGGCCAGCCGATATTAGCATATCAAGTGACTATCGGTATCGGCTAATTTTATCACAGTTATATTACTAGATTTATTCACCAGTCAAATAGCATTTGATTTGAGTATCATTATATTACACTAACAGTTCTCCTTCACCAACAGAGGGCGCTATATGGATGACAAGAGTCATTATCGCCGTCCAGAGTGTCAAGCGGTGATGCACGTACATGCGCAGTTACTTTCCAGTTGATCGACCATCTTCCAGTATGACCATCTCATGCTGTATATCTTTTCCACAATTGTTTGATAACTGCATTTTAGGGATCAACACAATAAAACTATGCATATCTATATCAATCTATCTCTACAGATCGAACATAGATCTAAAAATAATATTGGTCGATATGTGGGTGTCTGATTTTTTTTTTTCTCCACAATATTGATTTCGGTATCGGCCCCAAAAATCCCATAACGGTCGAGCCCTAGTTTTTGGTGCAAGAGGATAAGATACATAAGCTATTAGGCCCATGGAAAGTACTTGTTAGAAAGAAAAAAGTTTCCTTCCTTGGTCTTTTTACGTCTTATTTCTTTTAAGATTGGTACAATATAGAAGCCTCATTCTTCGAGGCCTCCTCAGCTGCTCTCTGTGTGCTGCATGTGTGCGCTAAGTCCAATGAGACGAGAGGTGTCAGAAAGAAAGAAGAAGAGCAGCAGCAGGCGAGCAAGTAGAGACAGAGAACAGAGGCAGGAATTAGAGAGAGAGTTACTACCTCCATGTTGTTGAACTAGACTTCAGCTGAGCCGCCCCACAGAGTCAGGCCTGCTCACACTGGTTTGATGGTTGTGTTTGATGACCTAGAAACATGGACTATCACTGCACTTATGTAAGGCCTAAAAGGACATTAGAAAAGTGGCACACACACAATAATATAAACACATTAAAAAAGCATTGCAAACCACAGCAGGGCCCAGCCCTGTTTTCTAAGTGACATGTTCGATAATGGTCTGTTAAGTCGATTCTCTCAATTTTATAACAGGCAGGAGATGAAAGTGTCCCTCAGAACCTTTTTGCTCCCCTCAAAGTGGTGAGCTCGTGGCAAAAATCTGTGTTTTGTCTCAGGTAGCAGTAGATGCATAATCCCAGTTGAGTGAGTGTTGAAATGTAACCCTCAAACACAGCCCGAGCACGGCTGAGAATCAGCAGAATGTAAATGATTCAACAGCACCTCTAAGTGGCTGCAGGAGCTCGTCTGACAAAAACAGTCACGCTGAGGACAGAGGAGTTTAAATGATCTCAACACTTCTTGTAGAAAATAGATTGAGGGGTATTCTTTTGTCATTTTAGGGGGTACCTCATGAAACTGTTTAAGAAAGTATCCTCTCAAAACAAAGAATGTAAAGGAACTCAAATTCTGCTTTCTTTGTAAACCGCAGGAGAAAAGCAGTAAACAAAAGCGTCGCTATAAATGTGCTGCTCTTTTCTGCATGTCCTTTTTAAGATGATTACATTATATACCAGATGCCTGGCTGTAAGCCTTGTGTACAGCTCCTCTGCAGTGGCAGGCTGTGTCATGCTGCTGACTGGGTGTTTGAATGGCTGAGCAGCCAGCTGGTTGGACTGCAGCATGTCAGTGGAGTTGTAATTCTGGCCCTTATCTGTTTAGGGCAGAGTCGAGTGCTTCAGTGTTACTGCACCAGTCATATTGCTTTACACAGCACAGTAGGCCCATGATCCTCAGGTCGTCTCATGTTCCCGCAGAGCGTAATCCAGCTTCAGATGGAGACTCACTTTGGAGTTAATTGTGGCACAGTTCCCTTCACGCAGCTCCATAACAAGTGCTTAATAACATTTTCTGACAACTTCTTACTCTGCTGGGGAAGTCGTTCAAACTGTTTTTGCAATAAATCTTCCTCTGTGTCTTCGCAGCTCTTCAGGGAAGTCCGAATAATGAAGTTACTGAATCATCCAAATATAGGTGAGTTCAAAATGCCTGCATTGTTGTTGTTTTTGTTTTTGACAGCTAAACTGTAATATTTCAATAAATCTGGATTAATATAGCGAGTTGCACAACACCCTGCAACAATGTTCTCTTCAAAAAAAATCTCAAAATAAGGGCAGTGCCAGTCTTAAGTTAACGCTTTTGTCTGGTTTGAAGATCCTAGTATTAGCACAATAGTATTAGCACAATAGCATTAGCACAAGCGAGATTTTTGATATACTTCTCAATAACTTGAGTATACCTGATCTGTCATGGAAGTAAAATAAACTAAAACAAGCCCCCTTCTTTGCTGCATCACCATGTGTAATAAAAATGTATCACATTCTGGATTATGTTTAAATGTTCATATTTTTTGCTATTCCTTAAAATGCATTGTCCATCTTTTTCATCCTTTGCTAATGCACAACAACCATACACTGTGCTATTTTAGCCATACTACTTTGTTAATAAACAATATTTAAATTAGGTTGGGATGTTTTAATATAACCAGGGACCTCTAATCAGAGCATTATACTCAGCCAACACCAACTAAGACCTCCCAATGTTTTAAAAATGTTATTTTCTCAGTAGCTAATCTTTTTATCCTATCACCTCTCTCTCTCTCTCTCTCTCTCTCTCTCTCTCTCTCTCTCTCTCTCTCTCTCTCTCTCTCTCTCTCTCTTTCTCTCTCTTTCCCATTTTTCCCCTGCAGTGAAATTGTTTGAGGTGATCGAGACGGAGAAGACCCTTTATTTGGTGATGGAGTATGCCAGTGGTGGTGAGTGAAGCATTCATCCATGAACAATAAATGGGAAACTTTTGCTTTGATTTTGATGCTTGTTATTCCAACAATACTGGTTTTAGAGCCACTAAATGATTATACACAGCACAGACAACAACTGTCAGATCTGTGTACCACAAGTTCATGTGGTTTCTAAGCTGTCTTTTATGTCCTATTCAACACAGAAAAAAACTATAAAACTCTGTATATGCATTCCTGTAAACTATTGCCAATGCTACTTATGATGTGTATATTTAAAATCGCCTTAAGAAAGACTTACAAATGCTTCCTATCTGTGATAAAGATGATATCAAATCACGACTATGTTCTGATTAATGATTCTGTTTTTCCTCGATGTACTCCAGGAGAAGTATTCGACTATCTCGTGGCTCACGGCAGAATGAAGGAGAAGGAGGCCAGGGCCAAGTTTAGACAGGTGAGTCATCATCATCATCATCGTCGTACCTTTGTCGTCATTCCATTTAGTGTTTTCAGGGGCAAGTCTGCATGCACCATGATCAGGCTTCGTCACCGACTGCAGAGGAAAGATGAAGCTCTGATAGCTTGGCCTGAGAAAAGAGGAGATCCTTTAAGATGCTGCTCTGACACCTAGTGGTGCTTCTGGAGCAGCAAGGAATCCACAGCAGTTTCTAGTAGCCTTATTCATGTTGGCTTTTACTTTAAAGATGAACAGAATCTGAACACTTTTCTTGAGTGTGTTAATCAACTTAGTGGAAGCTTAACATCTTTTTAAAGCAAGTCTTTGATGGCCATGCTGCTCTTTTTAAAACCTCTCATTGATGGTCTTGGATGACTCACAGTGTGGGCAGTTTGTGTGCCTGTGTGTGTGTGTGTGTCACCGCACAGAAAGATCAACACATAAAGCCTGTGTAGGTTCTCAGTCATCCAGGTCATGGTAAACCAAAGCTTCATCCAAAAGCAATTGTTGCCGTTGATCAACACAAAAAGGTGAAAGTGTTCACGTGGTGCCTGAGAGCAGAGTGAGTGGGTGGCGTTTGTCAAAGAACAGTATGTTGCTGACTATTTGATTGACGTTGTGGCTATTGTTGCATATGATGGCCAAATTTTGCTGTCAACTGCCTTAGCAACACAATGACAGTGAGTCACAGGACACCAGAAACTTTGGCATGAAACACATTTGGGTTTTACATTTTCCAAAATTCAATGAAATTGGTTTGCTGGAATGGCTACTGGCTAATTGCTTTATCATATAAAACTTAACTTCAATTTAGCATTTAGTCATTTCTTCGCGAAATGTAATGTAAACTAGGAACTGGTAGCGTGGTGACGAAGGCTTATTGGTTAACAAATGAGTTGTTTTACCTTTTATCAGCCGTTAGCGATACTGAGGACAATAGCAAAGTTAGCTACATGAGGGGAATTTCAACAGCTTGAAATAAGGAAGAAATTGAATTAATTTGACTATAAGGTGCTTACCTGATGATATTTACCTTTGATTAGTTTTCTAACCTGTGAAAAAAAGCCAACAATTTACATGATAATGTTGTGTTATGTATACTTTTATTAACCTGGAGCTAATGTGGAGCCTTGCTAGCATGAAAGCGGATTTGCTTTGTTATGTTTAAAACATCTTACGTTTTGAATAATGTGTTGAACCAAAAGCAAGCTTAAGATGTTGCAGTGGGCTTTGAAAAAAATGAAACACATATTATTTTTAATAGATTAAAACTTGTGTAAATAATTTCAGTTAATATTGTATTTGTTTGATATATTTCTTGTAATTCTGTTCTTCTATTTGATTTTTTTATTCCTGTAAATAC